AGAATCTCCAAAAATATCCAATTTCTATTGATAGAATCACTCAGGGCTTTATCCTGGAGAATTTAGGATCTCCAAGGATGTCAAATTTCCAGTGATGGGATCATTCAAGTCCTTGTGCTGAGGAATTTAGGATCTCCAGGAATGTGAAATTTCTGCTGATGGGATCACTCAGGGCTTTGTCCTGGGGAATCCAGAATCTCCAAAAAAGTCCAATTTCCACGGATGGAATCACCCAGGACCTGGTCCTGGTGAGTTTAGGATCTCCAAGGATGTGACCCCACTGTCTCTCAGCTCCTCTCCCAGGGTTTGACCACCGTTATTGGGAAAATATTTATTTCTTATCTCTTATTTCTATTTCTAATCAGACTTTTCCTGACCTGTTGGCCCTCACTGGGCACCTCTGAGAGGAACGTGGCTCCATCCTCCCCCCCCAATCCCAATTAGAGACTCGAGGACTCAAAGAAATCCTCATTTCATGTTTCCCCCAGCCCCACTGGCCTGCTCTGACCCATAACCCCGGTGTCTCCACAGAGGTATCCCCATGGTTATCCCGAAAATCTGCTCTCCAACCTGGGAGATCTCCTTTCCTTCATCACCCCAGAGGAAATTTCCACCTGGAAAATGAGCTCAGCTGACACTTTGGCTGCCTTCCTGAAAAATAAACCTTCAGATGACCTGGTAGGGGCTTGGATTTGGGGTTTTTTTTCTGGTTTTAGGGGTTGGTTTGGGATTAACTGAGTGGGTTTGGAGATGGTTGAAGCGTCTTTGGTGTCATAATTTTGGGTGGTGCAATGAATATGTTGCTTTTAAGTGAAAGTTTATAAAAGAAAGGCTTTATAAAATCTGGCCTTTCTGTTCTGACTAAGCCAGTCTATTAAATTGCCATTAAAAAAAAAAAAAAAGAAAAGTAAAAAATAAAGAAAAACCCTCTAAGAAAAATAAAAATCAGCAATAAAAAATTAAAAAAAAAAATTAGCACAACAATGTATTCTTGTAAAAACCTATTTGTGTAGAAACCTTGTTCACACCTATAAAAACAAGAAGTCTATCCCATAAAAATCCATAGAAAATAGAAATATATACTTTAAAAGTTAATTAAACATATAAATATTTAATGTTTATTAAACATTACCCTTACCAACCAATGAACTAAATCTCACTAGATTGCTAACCAATTAAATTCAAACACAATACCTTCTAATACCATATAAAAATGAACAGTGTGCAATTAAAAAAAAATAAAAATCAACTATTCTACAGACAAAAAAAAAACCCCAAATATCTCATTCCTATCCATAACAACCCGAAGAGCTTTGACAGGGCTCCATTTTATTTCTTGTAATTATAGGTGGGGTCAAACCACACCTTCTGATTCCATTAAATTCATTTAATTCATTATTTTTCCAGGCCTCAGCAGCCATTAAACGCTACGTGGAGCTGGGCAATGCCCTGAATGCCACAGCCCTGGATGCCATTGGCACCAGCTACCTGTGCCTGCTGAATGCCACTGACCTGGAGAGCATCGAGCCCTCCAGCCTCAGGTGAGCCACACACATTTAAATCACTTTTTAAATCTTTTTTTTTTTTTTTTTTTTGCCAGGGCTGGGATTAAATGGGAATTTCTTGTTGGGACTCAGATGTTTGTTAATTTTTATCTTTGTCGCAGTGAGTTTTGCAGCACTTCAAGCTAACAAGATAAAAATGGAGCTGTGTCTCTTCTCTCTCTACAAGGACTTTTAAATGGTCCAGTTAAGAACTAACGCCTAAATTATTTTTACTTTTAAAATTATTTTTACTTTTAACCCAAAAACCAACCACCCTTGGCCTGCAATGCAGAATTTTCTATCCAATTACAAAATACCACCCAAACCCATGGAGAAGAAAGAAACCTCCACCCTAAAACCTCTGTTTTTCTCTCTCTGTATTGCTGTATTCCAACCCCCTAAATTCTAATTGATATTACACACTTTTATTCAAACTACACACCTGTAATCTCAATTCTATCATTCAATTTTGGAAGCTTTCTCCATGGCTTCAAAACAGGGTTTTCTTTGGAGTCAGCACAGAAATTTCAAAACTCCCAATTTGACTTCTTCCAAAAGTCCTTTCCCATCCTTTTCCCTTTTTTTCTGCTCTCGGGGAAAAGGAATTTTGGAAGCACCTCAGAACCTGCTCTGTCCTGGGCTTTCCATCCTTCCAGGCAGGGCTCAGATTTCCATCCAATCCAAATCCAACTCTCTTTATTTGCAAATCTGACTCTGTGCCTGCTTTCATCTGCACAAGAGTTAATGAAATTGAATTTCACAGAATTACAGAGTCATTAAGGTTGGTACCCAGCACCACGTCCTCAGGTGCAACATCCTCGTGGGTTTTTAGCATTTCCAGGTTGAATTCCTCTGAAAGACTGGTAAATGAAATTCATTCGTTAATTACAACTTGGCAAACACACAGATTTTTATTGGGCATCATCAAATTCTCCTCTCAGCTTCTCTCCACAGAGCTGGGAGTTAAGGATCACCTGTGCTGTGCAGAGAATCCCAGAAAAACACTCAGAATATGGGAAAATGGAACAGGTTGGAGATAATAAATCCTCTTTTCACACAAAATCTTTATTTTTCTGCAGACTGGCATCTCTGGATCCTTCAAACTGTTCACAGGAGATGAAGGACATCTTGTATCAGAAAGCCAAAAAAGCTTTTTCTGACCAGCACCGTTTACCTGCTTACTATGAGCTGATTTTACCTTACCTGGGTATGTAAAAAAAACCCAGAATGTTGTGGGGAAAGAGACCTCTTAGCCACAAAAAAAAAAGGAGTATCACAATCCATCTAAGATTTGAGAATTTTCAAAGTCGAGTTGTTAAAATGTTGTCTTTCCAACATCAAATATTATTGAAGGATTCTGTGCCTGCTTTCAGTTGCCCAAATCTGTTCCCAGGCCATCACAGGGAAAAAATCAAACTCGGGATTTATCTCACAGCCCTTTTTCCATGTCACAAAATCGTTTTTTCTTGTTTTTTTCCTGTCAAGCCAAGAATTTTTCCAAATTTTTCTTTCTGCTGTCTGGCATCGCCCCAGATTTTTATCCACCAAATAAAAAAAAGGAGGAGCACCCACATATTTTGCACCTCACTGTGTTACCAGCCCCAGCCTAATGGATTTTGGAGAAATCCTCATTTTGTGCAGAGCCCCAAAGGTCTCAGCTCCTTTGGGCCCTCCCACCCTTTGATATTCTCCTTTTTTTTTTTTTTTTTTGCTGCCAGAGGGGGCTCCTGCTGCAGATCTCAAGGCTCTCAGCAAGGATGATGTGAACATGAACATGACCACGTTTGTGGCTTTGAGAAGAGACTCTCTGATGGTGAGCTGCACCTTGGAATTCTTTCATTCCTTGCATTTTGTTGAGTGCTTGGCTTTGGTTGTGTTGTCCACTGGTGGAAATCGGGAGCCATTCTGTCAAATCCAACCCCTGCTCTGGGATTTTTTTTTTTTTCCTGTGCACAGAATCCCAGGAAAACGCTCAGAATATGGGAAAATGGACCGGGCTGAAAATGATCAAAACTTTTTTAATTGCTCTGTGATTTTTTTTTTTTTTTTTAATTTTTTTTTTTCACCCCCAGCTCTTGACACCCAGTGAGGTCCAGGGGCTGCTGGGGATCAACCTCCCAGAGCTGGCCCAGTGGCAGAACAGGGCTCCAGTCCGGGACTGGATCGTGCAGCAGAAACAATCAGAGCTGGACCAGCTCCACATCGGGCTCACGGGGGGCACACAGGAGGGCTACATCAACCTCGTCACCCCCAAATTCCCAGGTACCTTTGGGGCCCTGGTGGTCGGGTTTTAATGGTTTATTTAGGGGTTGCAGCAGGGTTAAAGCTCTTGTAAGAGTGCAGGGTAAATTCTGGGTGCAGTGTGAGGAGCAATCCTGGAATCCCATTGGGAGCATCCCTGCTGAACATCCCAACTCAGAGGATTCCTCTGAGTTCCTCCTCGGGGATTTGGGCTTGGAGGTAAAATCAGAGTGGTTTGGGTTGAAGGAAGCTTGAAGATCCTCCAGTTTCAACCCCCCAAACTCAGCCTGGTGTTTGCCTTGTGTCTTGGTTGGAAAGACAAGTGTCTGCTAAGAAAGGCAGGAGCCTCTCTGGAAATGGAGAATGTAAACCTCCTTGCTCCTAATTATTATAATTTTGAAATTAAGGAGCTCTCAGGCAAAGATGTGAGAATAGGGATAACAGTTCTTTGCTAGGAAAATTAAAAATAAAATTTTTAAAAGCACCAAAAAAACAGTAAAAAACAAAACACTGCCAGAGTGAGAATCCAATCTGACACCCCATCAGTCAGTCAGGGATTGGTGCAGTTCCATTCTATGGTGGCTGTTTTCCTTTGAGAGTCCAGTGATGATGTGGAAAAGTTTGATTTTCCTCTGGGATCCAGTGGGAAAAGGCTGCTCTGATGTTCCAAATCTCAGATTTTATCTAGGTAGGAAAGGCTTGGCTCCTCTCCCTGGGTGGAGCATCTCCCAATGGGATGATGGAATTTGATCAGCCCTGCACTGGGACCCAATGGGATGATGGAATTT